TAAAATTCTGTCTACAAATAGTTGCTAGAGCTGTAAGGAGAAAACCTGCCCCTCAGATAATGAAAGCCGCACTGGACAATCTATTGGAAATACTAGCACTTATTAGCTGTTCCTCAGCACATCCCTCCCGTAAGTGATAGGGACACCCATGTAGAGCATAACTCTGTTACCAAAAATATACCACCTATGCCTTCTCCATATCACTGTGGACCCAGCACTGTGCTGATATCCCCAAACAGCAGCAAGGCCAGGGAGAGGTGGTGTGGCCATGGCTCATCTCAGGCTGCCACTCAGTGACTACTCTACAGGGCCCACAGCTGGCAATGGAGAAGACCAGGGTGTGGCTCACTTAAAAGATATACCCTCTGGTCTCACCCATGTCTCTCCTAAGAAATGGCCCCTTTTGCTACTCTTTCTGTCCATCTTGTTGTAGCTAAATCAGCAAACAAGTCAGAAACCATCTTGCATGAAAAACAGAAAATCAATTTTTTTCAGAGTTATCCAAAACCAAGAAAGAAATGTGATGTTCCTTCTTACATATTGATCCTATCACTCTTATTTTCCCTGCTCGCCAATTTAAGTAATTTGTAACTCACAGAGCCAAAATCAAAAAGCAAAGGATTAAAAGCAAAGCACTTAAGACATGCAAAAATTCCAAAAATAAAGGACAAAACTAAGAATTAGGAAAAAAAACATGCTTCTAAAAACACCAACTTTCACACTAAGTCAAATTGGACACATTGCTGCCCACAGAAACATGTCTGTCTATGCCAGTACAGAAATTTCAACATAAAAAGGAACACATTCACAGCATACAGCATCTAATCCAGCTTCCAGATCTCTGCTGACAATCCCTTATCACCGGCAAACAGTCACCTACCCAGGGCCCCCCTCTGCACACTTGGAACTAAAAACCACCTGAGGGGACCAGAGACATAGCTCAGCACATAAGAAGCCCTGTTGCCCTTGCAGGAGACTCGGGTCTGAATCTGCAGCACTGACACAGTGGCTCACAACTATATGTAAGTACAGTTCCAGGGGATTCAATGCCCTCTTTTGACCTCCAAAGGCACCAAGCATAGATAGATAGATAGATAGATAGATAGATAGATAGATAGATAGATA